GCAGTCTTTTTTGCTTAGGGACTGGTTTTGCAAATGGCAAGAGGTTCTGGGGGGGGTGTCAAAAAAAGTCAAGATGGCAGCTCAAATCCCACAATTGAACCCTGAACCCCCCCCCCCCTTTTTTAACGTGCCTTGTGCATGTGAAAGACCTAAGGTCCATTTTGGCTTATTACATCTGTGACAGCTGGATTCCTCTCCTAGCCCTGCGTGGCATTTCCCATAGTGGCCTCAGCCTAACCCAGTTCTGGAGGATTTTGTGGAGCAGGACCACATTAGCATGGAGAGAAAATCTGGCAAAAACTGATTCCAAGGTTGGTGATAAAATGACATTCTCATCTGTTCCTTGGGAAACCCGCCGGTCGCCATCCACCCATTACAGTAATTCCAGAATTTAAACGTAGCTCTCTACCTCCTTGGGAGCAACCCAACCCCTTTTGTCGCTGGTAGACTTTGTAGACTTTTGACAAAGGAGGCCACGAGGACATTTGCTTCCTGAAAGCTGTAGGTGGCAGCTTCATTCTACCTTTGGAGAGAAGCTGCAAGAAAATTCACCGAAAATACTGTGCCGGGTGCGGGAGAGCCTTTTATTACAAACCAGCAGAGTCTTCAAGGGCAGATTAGATGAACAAATGATGGGAGCATCAGGGTTGCTAGAAATATTATGGCATCGCCCGGTGCAATCTCCAGACACCCAGGAACTGCCAAATTGGAAAAGAGCGATCTGCCAGATGCTGAGCTGAATAGGATTCCCCATTGCAGAGAATTATGTCCTGGGTATATTTTTGTTGTTGTTTTTATTTCTTTTTCTCGTTTTCTTTTTTTCTCTCTTGTTTATTTCAAGGCAAAAATCAAGAAAACTCCTTAATTGCATCAACCTTGTTGAAAATGCCCAGGAAACCCCTGTACAAACAGGAGGACAATAAACAGTTGAAGCCACCTTTGAAGATTTCTCTCCCCGTCTAAAAACAAAGAATTTTTACACAAAGAGCAGAGAGATCTCTCTTTATTTTCTTTATTAAAATACAACCAGGTTCCTTATACAAATAAAGGAATTTTTAACTGTTTCCCCAAGAAGCAATTCTTTTATCCCAAAGAAAAATAAAATCATTCACTGAAAAAGTTTTTTTTTTGGCCAACATTAGCTAAGAGGCATGCATTTTCAGTCCTGTGGAATTCTTGGTTCTCTCCCAGTCTGATTCTTTGCTTGTAGACATTTCATTACCCACCACAGCAAGTGCAAAATTAATCCTGGCACATCTCCACTGGTAGAGTAGATAAAAGAAAACCCTGTTTTTAGCTGTTTGGAAAAATCAGTGTTTAAAGTCTACGGTTGGGCCATTTTGAACCTGCCTTGCCCTCTTGCCACAAAGCGCATCAGTAACACCAACAATTATATTCCAAGTCAGGGAAGGAACCCGACACTCAAATGAAGAGTGAGTCAAGCAGAGCTGACTGCCGGAACATCCCTGGATGTTGTAGCTCCTTCCCATTGTGACTTACGCTGTCTATGCCTACCATCTTCTAGCTAGCACCATGGTTGTCTGCAGGAAGTCCACCTGCTTGGGGAACAGAGATTCTGGAATGGCAAGAAGACTTCAAGAGCTCTCATTCTGCCATGGCCCTCGATGGATACCCCCCTTTTCCATAGAGAGGAGCCAGCTGTAGAAAGAAACGTTCTTTAGATGAACCCAAGAGATCCACCTTCTTTTTGGAAATGTCTTAAATTGATTTTACTCGGCCTGGGTTCGGGAAAACACATGGGGCTTTTAGTCAAATTGCACTGGTGAAGAGATGGGGCTCGAGCGTGGATAAAAATCCATACCACAGACATACAATCCAATGAGAACTACATTTTAAAGACAAAGTCTGTTGTGTAAGATTGGGAAGACATACGGCGAGATGGGGAATGGGTGACTGTCTGACAGCTGCTCTTAACAGCCTAACAAAATTGAAGTCTAAGAGCTACATTTAAATGTGTGTTTAATTTGTACACTCACAGACAAGATAGTAATAATAAACAAGGAAATATCAGTGCAAGAAGTGGTTTTCAAGATGGTCACAAAATCAATCTGATTTTTTTTTAAGCACAAGGATGCTTAAAACTTAACTGAGACGCCAAGCTGTTTATTTTATTCTATGCCCAATGATGCTCAAATGGACACCTTTAAAAGCATGTGAATTTCCATGTGTTAGAAGGAAAGCATATTCACCAAATTAATTCAGAGGCACACTGCCTTTGAATATGTGCATTTCATGTAAGGAGAACAGCTATCACTTGGGGCATTCCACCATCTTTTGAACAGGAACCTACCTTAGTAACAAAGATATAAGAGAAATCCCCAATAATTGAAGCCATTCAGACTTGATGGCTGCCAGCATCCAGAAGATTCTTTGTTGAACTCATTTATAGTTCTGATGTTCTCCTTAATAATCACAGTTTTAAGTATGGCCGTCTTACAGCCTGATGTTTCATTCCCAACCCGAGTCTCTGAAATAACAAACAGCTCACCACATTTCCACAAGGACTTTTAAGAGACAACTGGAGGATCATCTCCAATCTCCATCCACACTTGGTTCCTATAAACCAGTGTTGTCCAAACTTGGCCACTTTAAGATGAGTGGACTTCAACACCCAGAATTCCCCAGCCAGCCATGCTGGCTGGGGAATTCTGGGAGTTGAAGTCCACTCATCTTAAAGTGGCCAAGTTTGGACAACACTGCTATAAACCATTTCACTGATCAGCCATTGAGAGAGAAACAAAGCCAATGAATAACTTTGACGACCAGAAGACAGATTTGCCATTTCTGGGCTGTTAGACACACTTTTGTCTAAAATTGCTATCACCAGGAAAGAGAGAAATTCCATAATCTCAATAAACTGCATTGGCAATGTTGCTGGCAAAGGGGAGACAGACGTTAGTTCTGCCTCAACTTTGCTGTGGACACTTCCATACTCTTGACATTCCCTGTCTTCACAGCCATCACAAATGTAAGAAAATTGGCTAACCAACACCGATGAGTAAAACTGACAAACATGTACACCGTTAAACATCTTACTAAAGGAGGAAGCTGAATTCAGAGTGGATTTGAACAGGAAACTTCCAGAGAAAACCTGCTTTCAGCAAAGGGGCGAATCTCAGTTGCCCAACCAGGACAATTCTGTACAGAACTCTACGGGGTACCAAGTCTTTGTTCCTCAACAAAGTTAAGTATAAAGTATAAATCTATTTTAAAACTACACTTAAAGGAGTGCAGTTTTCTATTGGCAGTAACCCCTGGATGGTTGCAATGAATTAATTCCATCCATTTTTTGCTTGAGCTTAATTTTGTCTTGTCCAATGTTTAGAATAAGAACAGATGTCACATTCCTCCCATTATATAACATTTCTTCTTCTTCCTTCCTCCTCCTCCTCTAGAAACATGCATTCTATTCCTGGCCTAGCCTTGCAAACTGTTCAAAAAAGAAATCTGGACTTTAAAAAGCCTGCTGAGCCATGCTATTCCTGGATCTCTAGGATGATGAAAAACAGAGATGAGAATAATGTATGTTCCCAAGTCCTTGAATCTGGAAACAACGATGCTCACAACTTTGGGCAAGATTTACAGGGAAAGCTGATTATTGTTGTTTTTATCCATGCTTCATTTTTATGCTTTCTTCCAATGCCTATGGCAGTGTTTCTCAATCTTGGGAACTTTAAGATGTGTGGACTTCAACTCCCAGAATTCCCTAGCCAGCCATGCTGGCTGGGGAATTCTAGGAGTTGAAGTCCATGCATCTTAAAGTACCCAAGGCTGAAAAACACTGGCCTATAGCCACGCACACAGTAGGGGGAATCTCTTTGCAACAGCCTCCTATTAAGAGAAGACCAGAGCACTATGAGTAGAAATCTAGTCTTTTGTCTGGCAAAATAATGAATACATTATAGGGTTTCCAGTTTGCACGGGGGACTTGAGAATGCTCTCAATCTGTTCATAAATCCAGCTCTTCTTGGGAACAAAGCAAAGACCCCAAGGCACTTCTTGATCAGCATGACCATTGATGTCCAAACGTTGTAGCTGGGAAGATTGAACCGGGAGGTGAAGGACACTCAACAGCATGAACTTCATGGAGATATGACCAGACCAGTGACCTGGGGGCAAGAACGTAAGCCCAATGGGGCTGGATTTGGAAGCCACCACATATAAATCCCCACAATGCCCTACCCTAGCATCATTCCAGAGCACTGTGGGAAATTAAAGGACTTCCACTTTGGCACAGAGGGGAATGCTTGGGGGAAAAAGTCTCCCATCCTTAGCTTTTAGTTCCTTCCAGAAAATGTTCCACCTCAACTCTTGCTGGGTGTTCAAAACAAGGGAGGGGGTATCACCTGTAAGTTTGGGGTGTCCATTTCTTTTAAAAGTCTCCCGTTTGGGTCAGCTGTGGCCATGTTCATGGAGCTGGGAAGAGAAGACCGCCCACACAATTTCTTGCTTCTTTCAACAGCAAAGGTTTGGAAAAATTTCTCTTATTTTTTCTAGCATCCATTTCTTTGGCACGATTTACACCCTAGACAAACACACACCACACACCCATCTACACAGAAAGCTATTAATAAAAGCATTTGGCATTTACATTCTGTCCAGCTTAACCTTCCCTGTGGTATTAAAGTGCAGAATTTGTCCAATCTAAGGACATCTATCCTTTGCTAATCTGTATCTTGGTGTCCTGGGCTGAGAAAAAGATTTTGCTGCTTTAAAGGAGAAAAGAAAAGAAAATCCTATTGCCTTCCTTTTTTCTAAACCAAGAGACATTCTGTCCTGGTCCCTCTTTATTCATACACAGGTCCAAAGGTTTAGTATGTAAGATTTTTTTAGCTTTTTTATTAGCCGGAAACAACTCTATACCCACAGACTTTGGTGGGCTTGGGCAATCCCCAAGGACAGTGATGTTTCCCAACTGGGCCAGCTCTCCAGAGGTCTGAATTCCCAGAACTCCCCAGCTAGCAGGGCTGTTGTTGAGAATTCTGGGAGTTGAAGCCCACACGTCTCAAAATCCACAGGCAGAAGACAACGCCTTGCCCAATGAATCATCTGTCCTCTTGGGTAACCCTTCAGGGAAGGCAGGGCAATTTTCAACAAAGGAGGTCCAAGCCATCATCAGCTTTCCCCAAGCTGGGCGACGCCTTGAAATGAGCTGGGTGAGATGCCCATAATTCCTAGTCTGCACAAGCTATGATGGCTAGGGATTACTGAGGGATGAAGGGTGAGCCCCAAACATCTGGAAGGTACTAAGCATGTTGGAGAACAATGAACATGTTTCTTCTCATTCATTTAGCAAAGGGGCTTTTTCAGAAACTCCATTTGGACAGATAACCAGCAGCCTCCACGGGTGTATATGGTGCACAAGATCTCACCCAAGGATGCTGGGGAAAAAACCCAAACAGGCTGCCAAATGTCCTTTTAAACTTAAGATTACACACCTAAGGAATATGAGATGCTTCATTCAGCAATTACAACTTTGTTTACGTTGGCTATTATCTGTGTTCATTTCTTGCTCCACTGTGCCTATTAAAATTTGGTACCAACTTGCTGCATGTATGGGTGAGAGAGAGAAAGAGAGAGAGAAGTGCCAATCTATTTTAAAAGGTTTCCTTTACCTGCAACAACACAAAGAGATTCCATCAGTTGCAATGGTTTAGAAATCATGGTTCATTCCCATTACATTAAAAAAAGATAATGGGAGATTTTGCTGCCACGTTTAATCTTTCCCCCAAGAAAACAGGTTGTTGCTCTCTTCTCATACCCTCAAAGCATCCCATGTGGGCATCTGGATTCACTGCCCTCTTGGCTCCACAGGAGGGCAAAAGACCAGGAAGAACTGTAGCCAATGATAAACCAGGGGTTGCCAATGAAAATGATGGCCTTAATCTTCTCTTCTTTCTCTCCCCTTCCATAACGACCACAGGCTACTCGTTTTATTGCCTTTCCCATGGATGGTGGGATGGTGAAACTCATGGGAGTGATTTTTAAGACACAGTCCCACTAAGTTGTACGTTACAGAGGATCTTGATACTCGGATGCCAGGTTTGATCCCCATTTCATCCTTAAAAAAAACCAACCAACCAACCTAAATCAAAACCAAGTCACCTACAGAAGCAGAAGCTCCATTGTCCGAACTGAGTCAGAAGATATGACAGAGCCAAGGGCGTCCAGGGAGGGAGGGAGATCAAAAAATGGTGGCTTTGATCATTTGGTTGAGGCCACACTCTTGACTTTTTTGACTCCCCCCATGGAGACCCCTAGATGGACATATCTACAAACTGCATCCTGTAGATCCTACACTGCCTTGACATAAGACGAAAGGAATGGTGAATGAGCAGTTCCCACTCAGAACAATGAATGGAAGATTTTTAGGAAGGAGATCTTTGACAAGAGTGTCTCCACCACTCCAACGAGAGAAGAGGCTGGTGTGAAAATATACAGGCAAAAGGGACAATTAATGGAGATCACTTTGTAAAGCTGGACTTGAGAAACTGCTGGGAACACACCTGAATGCTGCTTGCACGATTCAACAGTGGTCAGTTTTCGAAGGGACACCCTTGCTGAAGGCCTAAGTTCTGTGTTTTTATTCAGCCTGAGCTTGGTTAATCCATAGCTTGTAGATCTGGTCTACACCATCAACGAGATGACCCATATCACTTCAGACTACAGGGGGGTGGGATTATTTGAATGCCGCCGCTGCCCCCCCCCCCAGCTCCCCAATTCACCATATCACATATTATTAGCATGTCAGGCAAAATCCTTTTCTCTGGCATCTTGTTTTCTATACAAGGGCAGTTTAAAAAAATACATGGGAGAAGATTAAATCATGCCAACGCCCCAGGGTGGCTGTGCTTCCTTCTCTGAGTTTGGTGTCTGAATTCCCCTCAGTGTGAAGCTTCGATCTGGAGGCCAACTGCTTTTACTCCCAGTCTCCGACATTTTGGGAACTTCTTCAGGGCTCTGTGCCTTGCAGGGGGTTTCTAATGTCCCAGACAGAAGAAGAGTTAGAAGGGAGAGACAAACAGACACGGATCTCAAATAGAATATGGGGTCCTTTCTTTTGTTTTTGCAGGACTTAAAAGGGGGAGGGGGAGGGAGAAAACAGCCCAATGCATAAACAAGTGATAATCAGGAGAAATTACAAACATGAACATCATTCCAGAAATATAATGTGAAGTTTCGTGGGGGAAAACAGGGAAGCCCACGATAGAAATTACAACAAGCAACAAGATCAGACCTTTGGTGGCCCTTCTGGGAACGAAGAGTTCTCTGCATGGTCTTGGGCTAAAGCTCCCATTCTCCCCAACTAACAGTATGCTAACCGTGGACGATGGGAGTTGATCACCCACCACATTGGAAAGGCACCAAACTGCGAAAGGCTGACCCAGGCAAATGCAAGACCCCCAAACTCCACAGCCTCCAACTAGGCGTACATTAAAATTAAACGCCAGCAGCAGTCCAAAGACATGGGAATTCAAGGGCAGAATGAAAAAAAGAATGGCAAATATCCACCGCAATCCATGTAAATGAGGAAGAAACCAAAACGGCAGGCTGGGAGAATAAAAGATGGGAAAAACAAACAAACAAGAAAAAATAAAATGGAGGCAAGGGGCAGTTACAGTACAAATTAACACTGATTGCACAAACATCCTTGCAGTCTCTGGAAAGAACAGGCATTTAAATCCAGGATATTTATATGCAAAATATATACACAAATTTAGATTAGCTATGTATATATGTACACAGAAGTAGTACTATAACCTGGGCGAAGGGGGAAAGACTCAAGTCGTAATGCAGGTTTGAAGGAAATGCTGTTCAGGAAAACTTCCATTCCAGGTTGGGACGGCCTGCAAAAAGCAGCCTCGAAGATGGTTTGGACTTCTGCGAGATTCCAGTTTCGGCTGAAATCCCCTTGCGCCACATCGCCAGACGTGAAGCCCCTGATAGAAGGGGGTGCAGACAATCCCACTGTGGTCATCTTGGTGTCTCCACCACATCCTTGCCCAGCATTTCATCAAGACCAGCGTTAAGGGCACCAGGAGGCTGAAAACGAAGCTCCAAATTGCATACAATTCATGTCCAATTAAAAGGGGCATCTACGAAGGGATCCAAAGTGTATATAAAAAAAGGGGAGGGCCTCGCTTGCCTCTTCCCCCCTTCCCACCCTGAAACTTGGGCACTTGGTTGGTCAACAGCATCATAACTTTGGGTAGTAGTTGTAGTGCAGTACAAAAGTCACAGAGGTTCAAAAACAAACCAGCATTCAACAAGCCACTCAGCCAGTTGGCAGCTCGCTTCCCATTCCGAAAGACGAAATAGAGCTACGGACTGTGGCAAGAATCAAGATCATCATAGTTAGTGTTCTGCGTCCATGGCGTCTAAGTATTTTGCTTCGATGATGCTGGGGAGCAAATTGTATCTGAGCAAAAGAATGGAAAAAGTTAGTCTTGCCCTTTTCACCTGAGTTTGGGAACTTTTGATGTGTATTTCCAATATCTCAATCTAGGTCAGCAATGAGCCAGATGTTACTGGACTCCCCCCTCCCCTCCACTCCATGCAGCAGGGACAATAGCCAAGGATAATGAGAACTGTTTCCAGAACAGCCTGCAGAAGGGTGCACATTTCTTACCATGTTCTTAAACCAATTCATGGGAAATAATGCATGAATGGCTGATAATTCTGGCAGGCAAATACCTCGTCCATATTCTGAGGCAATAGACCTATCACTTTCTGAGGGGCCAAGAATAGGAGACAATGGTTGCCTCCATAAGCTGCTGGTGGGTTTCCCTGCGTTGACTTAATCCAACACAGCTCTTCTGAGTAAGTAGGATTGTAGGAGTTCTCTGAGCATGGTTTTTCATTTGCAGTTCATTTGCAAGGAAAGGTACCAAACTGCGAAAGGCTGACCCATTACCTTTCATTACCTGCCTAGGTAACATCTTCAGCGTTGTAACCTAACACTCCCATCCAGAGCTACAAATAAGGTTTTGAGCTTCTTAAAACAACCACCACCTTCTTCATCTCAGTTACAGGGCTGTTAATACAACAACCCGTCATGTCTGAAAAGTTTCTAAGAAGAGAGCTTGGTTGGATCAGATCTATTTACAACCATTGTTCCTCACCTTTTAATCCTAAAGACCCACAAGGTGAGTTTGAGAGAGGTTCCAAACAACGTGCAAAAGCAAACAATGGTCAAAAGGGAGAAACAGCAGCTGAGAAGGACTATCATGGTCTTCATCACAAATTATCTATCTATCTATCTATCTATCTATCTATCTATCTATCTATCTATCTATCTATCTATCTATCTATCAATCATCCATCACAAAATGCCCCTTGGCCCCAAAGTCCATCTCCAGCTGCATAGTTTAGCCTAAACTACCAAGTCAAAGTCTTTGGGCTGGGAAGAATTTTCTGGGAAAGGAAAATCTCCCATAACCATGAGAATTTGTTCTCCTTGCTCAAGGCTTTCCCAAGCCGCTATTTTCTGGAGTTGCTGGAATACCAATCCTGTATTCTCCCACCCCTCCACGGGCAAATAATCTTGCCCAGGCTGGCTGCAAAGCATGGGAATTTCAGCCCAAAAGGTCCACCGTTGTGAAGACAGAACGACCTTATTAGGTCTCTAGATGTGGCAAGTGAGAGGTACAGATGTGCGCTTCCAGTTGACAGATCAGTTCTCAACTGTACCAGGAAGGACTGAGCTGATATGGAAGGGTGGTGGAGGTGTTAGATTGGCACTGGGAAGACCCAGCTTCTAGTGCACCTTCAACCATGGAAGCTCATGGGGTGACTTTGGGCCAGTGCATCCTACCTCATAAGTCTGTTGTTGTGAGAGAAATTTGAGGAAGGAGTGACGTCTAAATCTATATAAGTGTAGGTATGTATAGGCCAGGAGACTAAATTCCTTGGAAGGCCGGTGTGGTCCAGAAGGTCCAAGGGTGGCTTTGGGTGACTCTCTCAGCCCAACCTGTTTCACTGGGTTGTGGGGAAAAAGTATGGAGTGTAGCTTACATCACCTTGAGTTCTGAATGAACATTAGGAGAGAGAGCTAATACCGAAATAACATTTTGAAAAATTATATTCAAAATTATTCACCCCACACCCTGTTTGAGCTTGAAGCAGTCATTGTGCCCTCAAGTATTGGGCCGGATATGGCTTCTCTCAATTCAGAGTGCTTCTGAGCCAATTGAAAAAGTCCCAGAACCGTTCTGGTGATGTTGGGGGAATCAGTTTCGAATTCCAACTGTGAAACGTTTTGCATCTCGCTACGTATCAGATGATGTAGCTCAACAGAGAGCCCAGACATGGCAGGAAAATGAAGCCTGGAAGGTTCTCTGAAAGGAAACCCATTCTTTTTATTTAAAGAATGTGGATCTCCAGCCACCCTGTCATGCCAAAAGCAGTATCTGCAAAGGAGGGCAGGGACCCAAGATCTTACCTGATTGGGATCATTCCAATCATAATGAGAGGAAAAATCATTTTCATGTAGGGCAGAGGAGACATTCCAAAGCTACAGAGGATGAGGAGCTGAAGGACCTGCAGGCCGGTGAAGTAGTGAATCTTCCTTTGGGGCACTCGGCGGATATAATGTGTTGGAGGATAGGCAGTCTGGAAGGAACAAACTTGTCAGCACCCAGCAAATATCTCTTGGCGATAAGCAAGGATGTATTTTCATGATATAAAAAGAGGTGGCTGACCTATCGGATCCAAATTTGCATGGATTTGATTAGATTTCGCCTGAAATCTTCCTAAGAATTCTGGGAATTATTACCCGGGGAGGATTCCAACTCACTTCTGACTCCTTCATTTCTTTTCCAGCAAACTTAAAATTCCCAGTTTCCAGAAGGGAAAATGAAATTACTGATATGTGATGATGTCCCCTGGGTATTGGTCCAGAGGATAAGATGAACCTGTCCAGAATCAACCGCTTTGGAATGGTCTACATAATGGTCAGCCTCAGTTATTCTATTCTCCATTTAGTCTGTTATTCTGTTTCTTTTTTGGTTCTAGGTGTTTGTTGTTTTTAGCCCCTTTATTTTTTATGCTTCTATCCAATGCTAGGCTAGCCAGTCACTTTTGTAAATTGGATGGCCCAATCAATCAATCAATCAATCAATCAATCTGCCCAGAATAGTCAGAAACTGAAACAAGCAACTTCAATTTGACGGTCTGTTGAGCTGTCAAGTTCTGGATGTGACTGTAGAGACCCTTAAAAAAGGAATAGGAGATATGATTGGACCCACTTAGGGAGCTAGAAATCTGAGACACCAAGTCACTGGACTGAAGGACTCAAGATCCTTCAAAACAAGAAATATCTCATTTCAAACCATTACAAAATTAGAACTTCAGTCAAGGCCAAAAGAAAGTTTATCTGCAATCCAGATCACCTCTAGCATAAAATCGGATTTTTTGAGATTGTGAAGTTTTTGTTCTCTCTAAACCTTTCTGACCAACGGTCTATCTCTGGGCTCAAAACATACAGCTTCAACTGCCATTTAGCAATGTGATCACTCCACAGGAGATAAAATGTGAAAGGAAAGCTCATAGCTAGAAGGTATTGCAAGGATCCTCAAGTGAATACACCACATGGGGAACAAAACACATCAATCTTTTCCCCACATGTCATATGAGCCCTTTGTAACACAATCGGAGAAGGAGGGAATCAAATCATTTCTGGTCGAAGCTACCAAGTAAAATGGATTTTTATGGCATTTATCCGTCTGGAGGTATCAGAGTTCATCAGACAGGTCTGATCCTACAGCAGAAACCTAAGGCTTAGGTCCAGGATTAAGGTCTTCAGTTCTCTCTCTCTCCAATGGCCACAGGTCCATTGTCACCTCCTAGGCCATTCCAAAGTTTCAGGAGACATTCACAATCAGAATCCAATACAGAAGTTGCAATCAGGTGGCAAAGAGAGAAACGTACTGGATTGAGCATAACCCAGTTTTTCTGTTTTCCTTGTTTTTGATTTTATTGTTTTTGTTTTAGCTGCATATATTGCTTTTATTATTAGGTTGTAAGCTGCCCAGAGTTTGGTTTTAAGATGGGTAGCAAATAAATAATAAATAACAGTGTTGTAGGAAAGCTTTAGGAAACAAAACGTTTTGCTCCTTGTTTTGCAACTGGGGATGTGTGTCAGATTAGCCAATCTGCATACAGTTGAGAATGTCTGTCTGTCCATCCGTCCGTCCATCCATCCATCCATCCATCCATTCAACAACGTAGAACAGACTAAGAAACCAAGGCCAGGTAGGTCAGGACTACTCTTATTGTAACAGCTATAATAACAAAATCTTGCAAGTCTGACTGTGCTTCCCTCTCCCTCCCTTTATCTTCATGTGAACTAGGGAGGGGCTTGCCTGACACATTTTCTCAAGTTACTTTCTTGGCCTGGGCTCAGGCCCCTCTTATCTCACCATTGCCTTGGTTAGCAGTTCTTCTTCCTGTCCTTCAAGGTCATTCCATCTTCCCTCTAATATCTAACTCGATAGATACATCATCACAAGTTGTGGGGGTGTGATAAAAGAATGGGGGAATTTCAACTTGGCCACCTTTCCATGAAGAATCCCAGGCCCCAAACAGTGACATGTGCGGATCTATTTCTAGACTGGACCTCTTCCAAGCTGCAGCTATGGCGGTATGGAACGAGCCTCACCAGTTGCCTCCCGGCTTCACGCAAACAGCGCCCATTGCAGGGGGTATTCTCTACCACATACACAACCCTAATTACAGTATGAATCTGTGAAATGTTCAGATGGCCTGAAGCCCTTGGTGTTCTTGCTCTCAAACCCCCTCATTCACAAAGCCATGGGAGCTTGGCCAGCCCGTCCTTGCAGAAAATCAAAGAGCACAGCCAAGGCCCTTCCACAGGCTGGGTTCTCTCTACTGGCAGCCCCTCTGGGAGCACATTCAAGGCAACCAGCAGGGTGTGAGCAAGGAAGCGAGATCATAAAAGGCAATCAGAGGCGATATAACAGCCGTGTTTTCCAGCCCAAGGCAATCAACTCATGATTATGAGCTTCCTCAGGAAATGGCGTCTAGAAACAGCTCGACCATCGCTCCTTATCCTGTGTGGCCCAGCTGGCAAGCCCTCCGCCCTTGCAATTTACCTGCTCTTTCAGCAAGAGGGCCACCCTCTCGAAGAGCTGATTCCCATCGATGGAGGTCAAGGCGATGTAGAGGAAGAGCCCGTAGAGGACCGGCTTCGGGATCAGCTGCAGTGGGAAAGGAAGCAGCAGGAGCGAGAGGCCCACCAAAGAGTTGGCCACCAATGTCGTCAGACGAGTCTCCTTCACACTCACAATCCTAGCCAGGGACAAAGGTCAAATCAGTGTTGGATAAGTGCAATGGAGTTCATGCTGGAGATAACAAGGCAAAGGCTGATAAGGACCTCGTACACCCATCTCGGGATGGGTGGGATCTCAAATGATGACTTGCAGATGAAGGAAGTCTAGTGATATCCTGTTTTTTTGCTTTTGCTTTGATCTTATTTAAGCAAGGTTCTAGCTGTTAAAAGGGCAAAACAGATTTTTGAAAACACTGCTAAAAACAGTATGGATAAAACCAGATTTCTATTGTTCAGGGAGGACAACACAGACCTTTCCTCCTTTGACCAGCAAGCGAAGAAATTTCTTGAAATTTCCATTTCTGTGATACACAGCTAATGAATTTTCTTTTAACATTCTACCCTTTCCTTTAATTTCTTCCAATCTTCAGAGCTTAAAAGAAATTTAGACTCTGCGGTCTGCTAAGCTTTTATCTCTTCACTCCAGCTCCCTTCTGCTTTTTAATCTTTCCCTAGTAGCAGCTACCCAATTTTAGAATCCCACATTTCACTTTCTTTTTTGCAGCATCTAAAGAAAAGGAAAAAAGGCGGAAATAGGACAAGTCAAGAAACAGGAGCTCAGCTCAGCAAAGACACGGGCAGGAACTCTTCTTTTAAAATCTCCCTGCTCAAGGAAGCCAGATGTTGGATCCAAACAAAAGAAGTTACATTTAGCATTATATATAACAAGGAACCCTAAGAGTTTCAGATCTTTAGCAGATTATGGAAAGCACACCTAACAATTTCTAGGAACCAAAGGCCCATGTTGGTAATTTAAATAGAAATTAGCTTTAAGTACATTAGTGGATTTATTTATTATTAGGAATATTTTTAAAAGTGAGGATTATACCTGTGCCCTCTATATTAATCTCTCTCTCTCTCTTTGTAACTTCTACAGCCCCCTCTGAGCCCAACTGCTGAAAACCAGTAGCATAGTTTCCTACCACTTTGAGTTAGGAAACACATGAAAACCATATAATTCAGTCTAAAAACTGGTTTAACACATTTTCCCCCCTACGCTGGTCTATGATTGTAATAAAGATTCAGCTGCCTTGGTTGTTAAAAGAAAACACCAAAGAAACTCTAAAAAATGATACCAAAAAATCATCGGAATAAATTAAAATATAGTCTAGTACTCAGATAGATGATATGACCTTGTCTAATTTGAGCTACTGCCTTGTTCATTGTGGTCTTCGTCTGCCCCCCACAAACACGCACTCCACACACATTTTAAGTGCTGTCTCCTGGCCCAACAGATTGCTCACACTTCTCCTCCTCCATCACCACCACCATCCTCTTCATCATCATCATCATTTTTTCTACGCCTCCCTTAGAGCTGTGGCTGATTATAGCCCACTGAAGTGCAGATGAGATAAAGAGCTAACCAGGCAATATAAAGCTGCCATTTTCTGCATGACATGGGAATACTGGACACTCCAAATTTGGAGGTCATCAGGATGTGGGGAGGGGCTGGCCTTGTCTCCTCTTTATTCTCCTTCTGATCTCAGAGTTGCAGAAAGGCATCTTCAGGAAGTGCTGTGTTGGGTCAGATGTCCTCTAGTCTAACACTCTTCTTCCCAGAGTTGCTAGCAAGAGGCCTCCAGGAAGCCCCTCAACAACCCTCTTTGACTGCCTCTGAATGCAGAGCTTTGATTTTAAAGATCAGAATCATACAAGTAACGGTTTTTCCTGTGACACTCTATGGAAGGGAAAGTTGGACTTTGAAGAAGCAAGATAGGAAAAGTATTGATGCTTCTGAACTTTGGCGTTGGAGAAGACTCCTGAGAATACCATGGATAGACAAGAAAACAAATGGATCATTGAACAAATCAACCCAGAGTTCTCACACAAGGCCCAAATGACTAGGCTCCAATTATCCCACTTCAGACACCTGAT